CTTTCATAGACAAAATTTCATCCTCGTTATTTGTAGCAACTGATAGTGGTGGCTGTAGATCATCATTTTCTACCCTAAGAGATGGTTGAACCGGTGCCTTTAACTTAGTTGCTGGCAAATTTGGAGTTTGTGGACCTGTGTAAATACATAAACCATTTCAGGAAAAAGCTCTGACATTACCACTTAATTCAAGACAATTTCTTTCTTTACAACATTGCCTTCTTATACCTTGTCCTCCAAATTTTACCATATCAAGACAAAAGGCACATTTCCCACAATCAGGAGCTGTACAGCCTGCACACTTTTGACACCTTCTCCTTCTCTTTTCTAAAAAATACCAGTACCACACACAATGTAGTACACAGAATCAATTTTTTTTACTTTTCACATGTTCTTTTGTAGTTGATGAAGGGGACACTATAGCTTTCTTGTGATTATCTGGTGAGCATATAATAAAAGGTGACTACACATTCAATTTTTACCTTCCAGAATTGAAGATGACGTGAATACTGTACCATTAATCTTGAAATTATCTAAAATGCATAGCAAAAGTGAAAATTTTACATTAAATTAGTGCTACATGTACCTTTTGCCGGTTGTTTTAAGGATGAAATCGAAGTACATGTAGATGTTGTGGCTTTCTTGAGATTATCTAAGTGATGCATATACAATGGTTGATTATACCTAAGTATTAGAATTTAGTATACTTTCAGCAGTCGTCAATTGAGTGTCATGCAGTTCAGTTGTATGACAGTATGGTGTATGGTAAGAAAGTTCTTCAAACACAAATGGCAAGCCACAAGTGTTACAATGACCAGCCATGTTTTCATAACCAAAAACACCCCTATAAAAATACCAATTTAAAACTGTAATATTATCGTTAAGATTTAACCATTGAGCTATTTCTAGAGCGATCTCTTTCCGTAACAGCTTATCATCCGTAACCTAATGAGTAACATTAACTTATTCAGTACTATAATAGTGCTTAATTTACTGTAAAATCCAGAGATTGTTTCAGTGCATAGCACTTTGCATACTATATTAATGCACACATTTATTTCCACATTATGTTATTGTCATAAACTGACCTTACAAACAAACAAACCACAAGAAGTACCATTCCCCTGCTGCGCAATTTTCTATAATTAAAAGGTTAAAATGCTATCAACAATCAGTTACATGTATCTATACCTCGGGTAAATTTTCAGTCCAATGTGTCAAATCAACAGGCAAATTCCTTTTCTTGCATTCATTGGAAAGTGGCTTTCTACAGTATGTGTTCAGTTACCACATATTCTATTTCATCATAAAATACTTAATGTTTGTAGTGTGAAATTGCGTTCCTCTGAATTGAGGATTTGTTATAGAATCCAAAAGTGATATTTCTTTATTAGCAAAATCAACGACCTATTATATTAATGTTATGTAAGTGTCATCCATCAAATAGTTAAAAATATTGACCCATTCATTTTAATCAGTCTTAAGAAATTATGCTTAAATTTTTATGTTGCCGTAACAGCTAAATACAGTAGAATGGCAATGCATGTTAAATAATTTGATCAGGTTTTTGTGGTGCGCCATGGCATATGTACCGTATGGCGTGAAATTTTTGAGGGATGTAAATTTTACAAAATTGCCTAAAAATCTATTTTACTGATTTAATTTTCGTGAATTTATTCCGTCTGCCATGTTGTACCATAATAATATCATTTTTAAAAACATTTTTTGTGAATCTTAAAAAATTGCAAAACCCACAAAATTTACAACCCTCAAAAATTTTGCGCTACACGGTATACGTACATACATTCATTTGGTATAGCAACACATGTATGAAGCTCACTGCATGCACAACAATTTAAACAAGGGACATATTTCTAACACTAACCAACAAAACAAAGTGATTTCTTGTCTTCAAAAACAGTGGAAGAAAAAGTATTCCCTTTACAAACAGTTCATCCTACAATACAAAATAAAAGGTAGGCTCAAGTGCATGAGAGTGGCATAATACTGGGTTAACCACAAAAAGTAGGAATAAACTTAGCCTGTTTATACCGTGAGTAGCTGTAACTCCTTTGATACAGTACCAGTTTTCATGAACAAATCAAGAAAATGGGACGGAAGTGTTGCTAAAATTAAGTCCTACATAATACAGCATATATTATGACATTGTTATAAAATTAGAGATGCATGTACCTTAGTGGAGTATTTTACAACCAACAACTTCATGTAAAAATCTACAACCTACAGAAATGGATCCTGGCACTCATAATTAGTAATTTGACAAGTATACTTCAGCATGGATCCACTCTCTGTTGAGCATTTGATGCATATGTTCATGAGTCATTTGAAATGGTTCAAGATGATAAAGTACCCTTTTAGAAACCTATATCAAGGAAAATCATACTATGCTTAGACTGATACATTTGACATAATAATTATTAAGTATAAGACCCACAGTTTGATCTTCATTTATTAGCTCTTCCTTTTCTATAAAACCAAAATAAAAATTTTAGATTAATAGCTATAAATGTCAAAACCAACCTCTATCACTGTCACATTTCTTTCCTACAGACTCTACAAGAATGATTAAAATATATAAACATAAATTTATGTCACAAACCTACATGTACCTTCTTCATTATTATCAGTATCCCTTGTACGGGGTCGCTTTCTGCCTCCTTTTGTTTCTCTCTTCTTTCTCACATTCTTTCTGAGCTGTGACAGTATACGCTGAGATTCTTTCTCATCCTTAACATCCATGCCAAGATAAAGTTTGGCAGCAATAATGTGACAGCAAGAAGGTGAAACAGCTGGACAACTGCATTTGCTTTTTGGAAACAATGATACAATATGTACCGATGATCCACTTCCTAGAACATTGAAGACACGAAGCTTTGAATCATATGTAATACTGCCACTTGAAAGAATCAAACGGGCACGAGCTAGGCTTGAAAGCATGACATCATTGGTTAAAGGACCTGTCTGTTCACATGCATCTTTCTTTGTATCTACATATACATGCAGCTGTGAGGCTATCTCTTCAGAGTTACTGTTGCGAATTGAACAAACAATATCTTCAGGTGACTGTGTAGGTATATATGTAAATAACTCTGGGGCTTCTTGAAGAGATTTAAATACACTATTTAGTGAGTATTGACCAAGGCCAGAAAATCCCCTTTTAATTTCATTAACATAAAATGCCTGCAGTTGGTACATTGAAAGAACAATGCAATCTAAGGGTGCTTCCTTCCATTGAATTAAATCCTTATAAACTCTGTTGAGTGCTTCCGATTGGTTATTTGTTATTCCACTGTATGCATTAAACAATCCTTTCTCATCTAATTTCCATCTCGCAAGGAATTCAATATCTGCATCAATTTCAGACTTATAGTATTCCAAAAAAGTTTCATCCCACTTTGTTTCAAATTTTTGTAATTTGATTTCATAAGATTCCTTATCTTTTGACCGAAATAGAGAGTTACAATCTTCCAAATAAATGGAAATTTCAGTACCTGGTGCTCCATGACGACGTAACCACATTTTAATGTCTTGCTGAATGTGGTTCCAACAATAAAATAAGCAGGTATTTGGTATCTTAGACTGAACTGCCTTTACAATAGCTTTTTCTCTGTCAGTGACAAAAGAATGATCATATGTTTGTAATGATTTGACACGAGAGGCACATTCACTAATCATACAACAGTGGGTTTCAGCAAACTTCCTTTCGTGTATCATAAACATAGCTGGTATTACAGGACATTCAGAAAAAATTGTGTGTCTGAACAGCATTGAAGAGACATAAAAATCTCCCATCTGGAAGGTGGTATCATACGAAATAAGTTGGCGACCATGCTTTAAATTTATTACTTTATCAAACTCATCCAGTACTTCTTGTAGTCCAAAAATAACAACAAGATCAGGATAAGTGTTTATTCGCCACACAAATCCTGGAACATTGTATGCAATTTCATGGATATTGTATAAACTGTC